AGACGGTTAGTTTCTGCAGCAGCAGCAGCAGCAGCAGCAGCAGCGACTGCAGCAGCAGCTGCTACTGCTCTCCAGAAGACCTTGAAAGCACAGAGCCATACAGCCAGACAGAGCAGCAGCAGCAGCAAGCTGCAGCAGCAGAACAAAGCTGTGCTTGGGACCTTGCTGTTGTTGGCGCCGATGCTGCTGCTGCTGCTGGTGACAACGCAGAAGATGCCCACGTTGAAGTGCAACAGCAGCAGGAGCAGCAGCAGCAACAGCAGCAGCAGCAGTATCGGAAGGAGCATTGCACCGGGTGGGTAATATTTGGTGGTGCTGCATCTGAAAAGAGCTCAAGTCCTGCAGCAGCAACAACAGCAGCAACAACAGCAGCCCCGGGGGGCCCCCCAGAGGGGCCCCCAGGGGGGCCCCCCAAGGGGCCCCCAGGGGGCCCCTCTCTAAAAAAGGGTACTGGGGGCCCCTCTGTGCTGCCGCTGGGGCCCCAGGGCCTCATTGTGGGGCCCCACAAGACACATTTGCGGCGGTGGCTGCTGCTGCAGCAGCAAACTCGGTGGGATCGTCTGCTCCCAGCTGAAGTGCAGGTGAGCTAGCCAGCTAGCTAGCCAGCTAGCCAGCTAGCCAGCTAGCTAGCCAGCCAACCAGCAAGCCAGCTAGCCAGCTAGCTAGCCAGCCAACCAGCAAGCCAGCTAGCCAGCTAGCCAGCTAGCCAGCTAGCTAGCCAGCCAGCCAGCTAGCTGGCCAGCTAGCCATGCAGAAAGCAGCAGCTAGCTACGGGCCAGCTACCCGGCCTCACGCAGGCAGCGGCGCAGCAGAACCCCCGTCGGGCTTTAGCTAGCTAGCTAGCTAAACAGCTAGCTAGCTAAACAGCTAGGTAGCGAAACAGCTAGCCAGCTAAACAGCTAGCTAGCCAGACAGCCATACAGCTAAATAGCAAGCTAGCTAGCTAGGCATCTAGCTAGCTAGCTAGGCCGCTAGCTAGCCAGACAGCCAGCTAGGCAGCTGGCTGGCTAGGTAGGCAGCTAGCTAGCCAGCCAGCCAGCTAGCTAGCTAGCTAGCTAGCTAGCTAGCTGGCTGCAGCGTGTGCTGCAGGCCTCAGTGGATGGAGCCAAATGGTCTAGGCCCTCTTCCTTAAGAATTTCTTTCTTCGAATTTCCCCAGGCAGCCCTCGCAGTGGCTCCCCGCAGTGTTTCCCTCGCAGGCCCGCAAACCCTAAACCCTAAACCCTAAACCCTAAACCCTAAACCCTAGTCGTACTGACAAACCCTAGATCCTAAGTTGCGGGTTCGGAGTGCGGAACAGTCAGTGGGAAACGGCGAACTGGGGCTACCGTGCTGCTAAACCATGAACCCTAGACCCGCAGGCTCAAAACCCTTCATCTTAGACCCTAAACCCTAAACCCTAGACCCTAAACCCTAAACCCTGCGTTTTGCTTCCAGGAGGGCTTCCCCTTGAGGTTGTGCTCGACCGCCCCGTCCCTGAAGGCGCCGACTGCAGCGGCGCTGCTGTGCGCTTTAGCCTGCCGCAGCAGCAGCAGCAGCAGCAGCAGCAGCAGCAGCAGCAGCAGCAGCAGGCGGGGGGCTGCTTGGCCCTCGTGCCCGCAGTCCTGGCAGCAAACCGCAAAACCCTCAAATGCAAAACCCCCTCCTTTCCCCAAACCCTTTTGCCCCGCTGCTTCCTGGAGGTTTCCGCCTCTCTCAACGGCAAGAAACCCTAAACCCTAAACCCTAAACCCTAAACCCTAAACCCTGAACGCTAAACCCCAAACTCTTTTTCCCCGCCTGGCCGTGGCTAGCTAGCCGTAGCTAGCTGGCCCTGGCTAGCTGGGTAGCTGGCTACATGGCTGGTAGCTAGCTGGCTAGCTAGCTAGCTGGCTAGCTATGTATCCGGCTGGCGAGCTAGCTGGCCAGCTAGCTACCTGGGTAGCTCTCTATCTGGCTAGCTAGCTAGCTGGCTAGCTAGCTACCTGGCTAGCCAGCTAGCTGGAATCGCCTCTCTGTGTGCCTCTGTTTGGCAGCAAGCTGAGAATGGGTCCGTGAACCGTTACGTGTGCTGCTGCTGCTGCTGCTGCTGCTGCTGCTGCTGCTGCTGTGGACGCGCAGGCCAGCATTTTGCTGCTGCTGCTGCTGCAGTTTGTCTCCTGTCCCCCGAGGAATTCTCTGTGTCTCCCCCCATTGGCCCAGCGGGGCTGCCGCTGCTGCTGCAGCTGACCACTCCGCAGCTGCAGGGGCTTCCGCCGCAGCTGCAGCAGCAGCTAGAAGACCACCTTCTCTGCAGCAGCAGCAGCAGCGACAGCAGCAACAGAAGCAGCAGCAGCAGCAGCAAAGGCTGCTGCTGCCTCGTCGTGCACCCAGATGGCTCCCGGGAGACGATCCCAGCAAACTTTCGCGGAGGACACATTGAGATAGCTCTTTCCCCAGTAGTGCTAGAGGTATGTGCTGCTGCTGCTGCTGCTGCTGCTGCTGCTGCCACCTCGAAAAGAATGGAACTGGGTGGTGGGGCTCTTTCTGCAGGCTGAAGATGCAGCAACAGAGGACCAGCAGCAGAAGCAGCATAAGGAACCGCAGCAGCAGCAACAACAGCAGCAGCATCAGGAACCGCAGCAGCAGCAACAACAGCAGCAGAGCGATAGCCGCATGGCGACTAAGAACAGCAGCAGCAGCAGCAGCAGCAGCAGCTCTAGCAACAGCAGAAGCAGCAGCAACGTATATGTGCTGCAGCTCTACTTGTCTTTTAATGGCATAGAATTCAGCAGCACGCCGAAGCCCTTTGAGGTGTATAAGCAGCTGCAGGTAGACCAGTTGCTGCTGTTCACCCTTCCTGCTGGTGCTGCTGCTGCTGCTGCTGCTGCTCCCAGCGTCAGCAGCAAGCCAGAAGCTGCAGCAGAACCTGCAGAGGCAGCAGCAGAGTCTGTGCTAGCCCCGCTACCAGCCTTTGAAACAACAGAAGCAGCGCAGCAAACAGCAGCAGCAACAGCAGCAGCGGAACCAGCGCCTGCCGCAGCAGCAGCAGCAGCGGCTGCTGCTGCTGCAGCTGCTGCTACTGCTGCTGCTGCTGGTGAGCTGCAGCTCGTAGATGAAGACTCTCTGCTCGGCAGCAACACATTTGCTGCTGTGCTGCTGGAGTGTGCGGTGTCTATACACTCCCCTTGCTTCCGACTGACGGTGCTGCCAGAAGCTCCTGCTGCTCCTGCTGCTGCTGCTGCTGCTGCTGGTGGGCACCACCGCAGGAGCAGCCAAATAGCGCCTCGCCTACTTCATGCCAATGAGCCAAGCAGCCATGCAGTCCCCTTGCCTGCAGCAGCAGCAGCAGCAGTAGCAGCAGCAACAGCAGCAACAGCAGCCGGGGGAGCAGAAGCTGCTGCTGCTGCTGCTGAAGCAGAAGAAGCAGCGCCGCTGCAGCTAGTTGTTCCTGCTGCGTTCAACAGCTCCGCGCAGCAGCGGCTTGTTGCGCTCTTTGAGAGCAGCAGCAGCAGCAGCAGCAGCAGCGGGCGGCCCGGCAGCAGGCGCGGAGCCTCAAGAGACAAAGCAGCAAAAGGTGCAGCAAGAAAGTCTCCTGCTGCAGTGCCCTTGGGGGGCACTTCCAAAGCTGCTGCTGGTGCTGGCAGCAGCAGCAGCAAGGGCGCAGCAGGGGACAAGCAGCAGAAGCAGCAGCAAAAGGCTGCTAAGGGGCACCAGCAGCAGCAGGCGCAGCAACAGCAGCAGCAGCAGCAGGAACAAAAGCCCGAAACCCCTGAGGAGAGCCTCCAAAAGGTCATTGTGGTGAGACACCAGACAGCAGCTAGCTAGCTGAGCTAGCTACTGGTGCCTTTGGCTAGCTAGCTGACGGCTGCGAACTAGCTGCAGCTAGCTAGCCATGCTCAGGCCGCTACGTTTAGCTAGCTGTAGCTAGCTAGCTATGGCTAGATAGCTGCGAAGAACCCATTGTAGCTGGCTAGCTAGCTAGTAGCTAGGCCACTGTAGCTAGCTTCTAGCTAGCTAGCTAGCTAGCTAGAAGCTAGCTGTGGCTAACCAGCCGTGGCTAGCTAGCTGTGGCTAGCTAGCTGTGGCTAACCAGCCGTGGCTAGCTAGCTGTGGCTAGCTAGCTGTGGCTAGCCAGCCGTGGCTAGCTAGCTGTGGCTAGCTAGCTGTGGCTAGCTAGTCCTCGGTCCGAGCTGGCCAAAGCTAGCTAGCCTCACACCTTCGTGAGCTGCACCTGTCAGGCCTGCTTGAAGCATAGCTTCTAATGCGCTGCTGTTGCTGCTGCTGCTGCTGTTGCTGCTGCTGCTGCTGCTGCTGCTGCAGTGCGAGCTGCCGGTGCTGAAGGGCAGCAGCGAAGGGTCTTGCCTCTGCAGCTTAGAAGTTTCAATCGACGGGCTGCACTTCACTCCTGTGGGGGAGGGGAGGCTCCTTAGGCTCAAGAGTAAGCGCAGCAGCAGCAGCAGCAGCAGCAGCAGCAACAGGAG